ACTTTTTGAATTTCTTTACAATTATTACATTGGCTACATTTCCGTTCGGATCACTCAGATGACCCCAAATATATCATATAAGAGCAAACTATTCGTAACGTGATTGGTCAAATATATCATAAGCATGAAAATATAGATAATTCTATACTAACATTCACACACGCGCTTGCGCGCACAACGTGTACTAGTATCCACTCTTATAGTTTAGATGAAGAATATGAAAATATACACAATAAGACAAACTATTTGTAACGTGATTGGTCAAATATATCATAAGTATGAAAATATAGATAATTCCATATTAAATTCACACGCGCGCTTGCGCGCGCAACGTATACTAGTAAATATAAAAAATGACACCATGTGGTTTGAGACAAATCTCAATGTTCAAACTTAAGGTAATGTTAACCTTTACTTCTATCGGGCAACATTCACCCTTGTCTGAAATCTCGAGAACTTGTCTGAGATGCTATGATATATTCTAAACCTCACACATAATATATCGTTTCGCAAGGAACGCCTGTTCACTAACGTAATCAATCTCTTTTAGAACGTGCCATAATCTTCAACTCGTGACGTCATTTCGACAGAATTTCTACACTGAAAAAAACTACTTGATTAAAAAAAAATGTTCTTTTGGAAATTTTACTCTTGTTTCGAGATATTCAGTTCTCTTCATTCAATAAATTTATGCTCTTGAATCAAGAGCATAAAACTCTGGGATGAAAAGAAAGAATTCTTCATTCGAGAATTTTAGTTTGGAATGAAACAATATATTATCCTCAAACAAGATAACTTATATTTCATTTACTATATTTCATAACTTATAATTCCTTTCTCTTGAATAAATATAGCCCGTAAAATTGATTCAAGTTATTACCAGCTTATTTCAAGAATACTAACAATCTTTAGATTACTTTTATTTTTTATATCTTTAAAAGTAAATCTCAAATACTTTTCAGATTTAATTGAAAGAAAATATTTTTATTAGAGTATTTACTGGAATTTTGAATGAAGAAACTTTTTCTTGAACCAAGAATATAAAATTCTTGAAGGAAAAAAATGTATTTTTAGTTGACGGGAGTTCTGTTTTTCGATGGAGAATCTGATTGTATCGATCGAACAAAATATACTCTAGATCAAAGTTGTAGAATTTCTCTTTACCAAGAAGATGAGTTTTTAGACAAGAAATTCTTGAATCAATACAAGCAGTGTCTATTAAAATAATTTTTCTTGGATCAAAAATATTTGTCTTGAGTCAAGTAATATTATTTAATGTAGTATTTTTGTAAGTCGATAATTTAAAATTAAAATTTTTGATCAATAGCTTAAAAAAGCTGCTTACAAAAAACACTTCTTAAGATTATATCAATTTTTTTATTTCAAAGGATTTCAAGTTTTTATAAAAATTTTCATTTTTATTAGGAAATTATTTTAAGTAAATTTCAATTGGAATTTTGAATGAAGAAACTTTTTCTTGAACCAAGAATATAACATTCTTCAAGGAAAAAAATGTATTTTTACTTGACGGGAGTTCTGTTTTTCATCAAAGTTGTAGAATTTCTCTTCACCAAGAAAACGAGTTTCTAGACAAGAAATTTTTGAATCAATACAAGCAGTTTTTTTCAAAATAATTTTTTCTGGATCAAAAATATTTCTCTTGAATCAAGTTAATTTTTTTTGACAATTTCTAAAATTTCGCTGCGAAGATTTTTTCATAGACTACTAAATTTTCATGAGAAGAAAAAATGAGTCAATTTTTTTTAGTTACTTTGATAAATGTTTCTAGATCTAGGTTCGCGATTATAATTTCCATAATATACATTTAACATTACCAATATATATAAGTACTGATATAAAGTAACATTATCTGGTGTATGGTACCTGTACTGGATAGTTAAACTCCCATTAGGATTAATTTAAAATAATTTAAATGAATGTACATAGATAGGAGTATAAGAATGCATAGACTCAGTAATTTTTGACGATTCCTTTTCTTTTTAATGTCATTATCTAGCAGTATAAGTACGTATATACGTATGCATGCAAGATTAACTTTTTTCGGAGACATCTACCCACCCTTCCTATCCGCGCTTCCTACATAACCCAGCACTGTCGAAGAAAAGAAAGAAGAGAAAAGATAAAAGAGAACAATAGGCGTGAGTCGACTAAATGGAAGGGTCACGATTATTTATGAACAGCTCATGCGGAAGATCCGCCTTTGCTAATATCCTTCTTCCTGGCTTATTTATTTCTCTATTTACCTTATTTTTATTTTTATCTTCTTACACATTAACAATAAAACATAATACATCATCCGCGTCTACGACCTCTATTGCTTATGTTTATAAAAACCATTATGGTGACAAATTTATACTAAGTCTTCAAAGCCTGTGATTCACAGCAACTATTGTATTTAATTAATTTTTTATTTTAATTTCAAGCAGTAAAATTTTTATTTTAAATAATAATTTACGAAATTAACAGCTCTTGTGGGTGCGGTCGATGCACTAGATGCAATTGTGTTCTACTTGCTTGTAGGAATCATTGATTTTCTTACCTGGCAATACCAAGTGTAATTTTATTTAGGATAATAAAAAAATAATACTTTAATAACTTTTTTTACTGCCTGCTATTTTTATTTTTACAACTTTTTATAAATTTTGATTAATACTAGATATCATAAATATGAGTATAAGTTTTACTAGAAGGGGGCGACAAATTGATAATATAAAATTCTTTATTTATTTAAATAAAAAATTTATTTATGCAGATTAAAGTGAAAAATCGCATTGAAGAAATTTTTATTGCAAAAAACACTTTTAAAGTTTTTTTCTGTATAAATATATTTTCATAGTAATTTTCTTTTAAATCAACAGAAACACTTTTAAAGAAATTGAAAAATTAATATATTAAATTAAATATTTAAATAGATCACGTGGAGTATTGATGTCAATGCCGTAGTGATGCGTTAAGAGATAAGACACACCAACAAGGTTCCGGGTTCGAATTCATTTTAATGCCGACAAGTTTTTACTCGTAATAAATTAAATTTTCCGAAAAATTGATATTTTCTTTAACAAATAAAATTAAAAAAATTTTTTAAATTTGTGAAATTTAATAAAAAAAGTTTCGGAGTAAAACTAAAATAAAAATAATTTTTATCACTTTTTTTAGAAAATCCCCTTTTAATTATATTCTATTGTTCGTAAAATCTATCAGATGAACTCCAATAATATATATACTATAGATGTATATAACAACAACACATACAGTATAGATCACTTATCAATAACGTGAAATAAATGCACGTGTGTTTCTTATCGCAGCACGATTTAATGATGTTATAAAATAAATGAGTGAGAGAGTTATATACACAGACTATAAGACGTGTACAGCCGACAAAAGATAAAGACTAAGAAATAAACTAGTAGTGGTATTTAAAAATCCATACATGTACAAAGTAATGTTTTTAGTGTAAGTATGTTCCCTTACTCAACTTAAATTTCGTCTCCTTCCATATCGCCATCAAGTGCTTATCCACGCGGTTACCTATCTTTGATTTCTTGCTTAGTTGAACTTTAATTGTGCACGCAGACACCGGATCTTTTTTTTTATCATTTTTTTTTTCTGTTGGTTATTTTTACTTATTATTTGTGGTAATCTGTGATTAAATAAAACCTAGTTAGCCCAGTGGTAAAATTGTGTGATATAATATAATAATCATGTGATATTGTTTAATGTTTAATGTAACAGATGAAGAATAATAAAATTAAACAAATGGATTTTGCTAGACGATGACGATGATGACGACGACATTGCACCTGGAGCGATAAAAATTAACCGATAACACTTGCTATCTTGGCATTTTAACTCGTCCCTGAATTAACGTTATATAGTTTTTTATAATTAATATTATATATACAATATTACGCTCAGTATTTTTACTTAAATTTATAAATTATTTTATTAAATATTAATACTAATGATGATCGAGACAGTATTGATTTATAATCAAGTACTTAATATTAAAGTGATATGATGAATAAATTATCACAGTATATACCAGTTAATAATTTATAAAATAATAAATTAATTATCCAAATAATCATGACAATCACACTCGATTTAAAATTAATTAAACGAACCAGAAATAATAATATATTCATATATTTATAATAGAAATAATAAAAGTGATTAGTACACCCATACTATGCATTTACATAATTAACAGTATTGCGTATATGTACATATAAAATAATAATGTTTAAATATTTATGTAACGAGACATGAAGAGTATTTTTTTTTTTTTACAAAATACTTTGCTGATAATTTTAATTCGTCTATTTATGGTACCAGATTATTTAATGTGTAAAGTAGGTAAATTCTTCTACATAATATAATAAATTCCAATGTAATTACGTGACGAAAATAACAAACTCTTAACACTTGGGTAAATATTTAGATAAATGTATTATAAAAAAATTTATTGTATGGATTACAAATTACAAATATATTTGTAATTTTTATTTGAAATTCAAAAATTATATTTGCTTTCTTCTATTTTATTATTTTTTTTATTGAAATAATTATTAAATTAAAAGAAAATTTAATTAAAAAATTTATAAGCTCGATATAAATGAACGTAGTTGTTTTTGAATTGACAATCTAGCTTTAATAGTAGTGTGTCAGAGTTGAGTACGTATGACTAATTAATAACGACAACAAGAACCATGTATTAATCTATTATATATTGATACGTATGTATAAATGTGTGTATATATGTACATGTATTATATAGTTATACTTGCACTTATATTTTACACGTAAAGTTATTAATCTACACATAAAGTGAAGCAGTATTGAGTTATGAGTTATGAGTGTGTATTTTTATTATATTATACAAAAGTTTGATAGCAATATCTGATTGTGATGTTGTCAATACTACAAGTGCAGTCAAGTGTTTTAAGTGCATCGTAACAACTGCAATTATTTTCAAGATGACTCTAAAAAAAGAGGGAGAAAAGAAGAAAACCACTAAGAAGACAAATAAACCTAAAAAAAGTAAAGTTTGCCCGACTATTGACGAGACTAAAAATGGAACTGGCGATAAGAATGATACTACTGCTTATTCACCAGAAAGTTCAGCAGATCAAAATCCACCTGGTATTAATTTTTTTTTATTTTTATTTTTGTGTTTTTATATATATATTTGTAGAGATGTACACATTGTTGTTGTTATTTAGAAGTATAATAGGGGTGTAAAAAACGGGTGTTTTTTCAGACGCGGGTGAACGCGCTGGTAACAGTAAGCTTGACCGTAAACCGTCTCTGAGACGTAAATTGGGAGCTTTTATTCGAGGGAGCGCTGACTTACCATCTGTAATTAACCGAGGCTTTCAGCCGATACGGAGAAGCTTTAGCTTCAACAAGGATCTACATCGCGTTTACGAAAATACCCACCCGCAGGAGTACGGTAGGACACGCAATGCTCAGTGGTACAACAGTTTATGCTCTTTGGCTGAAGTTGATTCTAAAGATGAAGGTGGACACGTTGCAACTAAGAAGAATGGTTTTGATGATGATTTTGAAAAACGTCAAGTTTCGAGGACTCATAGTTTTTTGGATAATTCTGTAAGCGTAAAATAATAATAATTATAATAATAATATTAATAATAATATAATGTTAGAAATTTGCAGAGTGAATGCGGAGTGGATGATTTTGAATTTATTTAAACCATCTGGAGTGATTTTTTTAATTTTTTTAAAGGATAAACATGATAAAAATCAATATTATTAGGAGAATAAGAACAATTTTGTGGCCAGTATATTTATCTGATAAAATGGGTTTTTATGGTTAAATTTGTATCGTTGAAAAAGTCTTGACCTAGAGTTGTGCCTTTTCATGGTTTCATATCATTCTTACCAATAGTCAATTTATGATGATAAATATTTAGGCTGCATTCGAAAATGCTCTATCTCTAGATACATAATTAAGAAATGACCTTGTATCTCTTGAACTATTGACATTTTTAAAGATATAAGCTCATCCCGATGTTACACTCATCAAGACCTTTCATTTGAGTACCCACATGAATTTTTCATATATTTATATATATTATATATATATATATATATGTATATATGAAAAATATATTAAAATGCATGTGGGTACTCAAACGAAAGCTCTTGATGAATGTAACATCGAGATGAGCTTATATCTTTAAGGAAGTACGAGCGCCAGGCGGGGTGGGGATAGGTATCGACTCTAGTGCGGTAAGGGCAACGCAGTAATCATATGATTTTTTTCAATATATAGATATACATTTAACATTGGCTAGTGGCGGCATTTATTTTTCTTTTAATTAATAAATTTTAATTAGTCGGGCAAGTGTAAATATTTTTGAATTAAATTTATCACTAATATATTTACTTTCATTCATAAGTTTTTTAAAAATATTCACCGACAGGTTTACGAGAAAAATACAGAAATGTATCAATGTTTGAAGGTTACCCCATAAGACCAATGTTAAATTGCTCAACTTTAAAGTTAATTATTTATTTAAATGATCGGGCAATCTCCTTCAAATTTTCAGGATTTGTTTAGACATATTTAAACTTCATATTAAAAAAAAAATCAAGCCTTTTATCAAAAGTTGCCTTGGTGCTCGTACTTCCTTAAAAACGTCAATAGTTAAAAAAATACAGGATATTTTAACAAATATCTTGTAAACTATTGACATTTTTAAAGATATAAGCTCATCCCGATGTTACACTCATC